TCGTGTATTTAGCATTTGATCCTCTATTAACTACGTTACAATCGATGCAATCGTAATGATCTTTACATGTGGTATCAAATTGCTGGCCATATGCTTGAAAACAGTCGCGATATACAAATGTCAATTAGATTACATTATTTCACACATCATAATCTTATCGCGACATTTTTTATTGCAAATCATTTATCAACTCTCTCTAAGACAGGTAACGTCCATCACGTGGTTAACGGTCTTTTACTCATAATTTTTGCGTTATGTTTTCCCACACGAATGCGGAAAATTGTGAAATCGATGGTGTTCCCACCAGACCGTCAAAAATTTGATAAATTGTCAATTTAACGTTTGTTAATTTTTCCGTGTCAAGTTTTTTTACGGTACAAATTAGTTTCCAGTAGTTTGCGTTTTACTTTGCCCCATCAACTCTGCATGTTGCCTCTTTAATTCAATGTTTTTTTTTTCAATTTTAAACAAATTCTCTTGCTAACAATTTTTCATGTGATCTGTTCATCCTTCACTTTACGTAATTTATTTATTCTACAACTTTGTCAACTTTTGATTGAAAGACATGTAAAGTTATTTTCCTCAGTTTTATGCACAAATTACATAAACAAAAATACTTAAAATTTTTTATTTCCTCTTGAAATTATTTTAATGAGATTTCCAAGTGTCAACTTTTTGTTTAAAATATACATAAAGTTATTTTTGCAAGATTTTAAATAAAGAGATATCTTTTATTGAACGATAGTTTTTATCGGCAAATTGTACAAAATTAAACTGTAATGAAAAAAGTGATGTTAAACAATTAATAGCCGGTATATTTAATGATGAAAGATAATGTCTCCTTAAAAATCTTACAATATGGTTTGCTTACGCTTATAATAAAAAAAGGGCAAAATTAAACTGTAATGAAAAAAATGATGTTAAACAATTAATAGCCGGTATATTTAATGATGAAAAATAATGTCTCCTTAAAAATCTTACAATATAGTTTGCTTACGCTTATAATAAAAAAAAGGAAAGAGGGAAAATGTTACGTAATACTTACGAAAAAGGTGCTGCCTTTGCGGAAGGCCAGAGCTCTAATCGGTCTTCCACAGTGCGCGAACCCCAAGTTTGCGAGAAGGATGAAGTAGACACCGCTGGAGAATGACGGGCACATAATCAGCACTATCTCGTAACTTGGTCGAAGGAAGACAGAAAGGGGGAGGAGGGGATTGGGGGAGACTCGCAGGGCCGAGGAGTTCTTAGGACAAAGTTATATTGTGAAATCCGTTTCGAGTTCTGTGCGTCGGAGTTTCCGACGTGACACGCTTTACGCCAGAATCTACCAACGCTTATCTCGAACAACCACTACGATCGCTCGTGCTAACATTTACAACGTAAGCCGGGTAACCTTCCTCTTATCCCTATACCCATTTTCGACCTCCTTACTACACTCACTCGACTCGTTTGCAAATTATGAGAAGCGTGGTTAGCGTTAATTTCGCGAGATACAACGGTCGCTTAATTTCGACCGAGTGTAACTACAAAAGTTATTGCCGTTTAGAGAAGGACACATTGACCTTTACGCGCCTACGGTACCAATCAATTATCAGTATCGCGTGTAAGTAACACACCTAACTGTATTCGTTGCGTCATATTTGCATTTCGAATAGGAAATTATTTACGACATGATTCAGAGTTAGTTGTCGCCTTTATTAAAATCTATGGTTAACGTGTTGAATGCGCAAGATACACCGGTTGTGCTTAATTTAGTTCGAGCGTAACTAAACGCGATGATTTTCTGCGCGACGAGTTTTTCCGATTACAAATTGATCGTGTCCATTGTCGAATCCTTCTTTCATTCGCACATCAATTTCATTCGATATTTCGGCCATTCATTCGGCGGTTCAATACAATTTAATTGATCGGTGAAGCATCTTGCAAACGAATCGTAAAATATACAATTCTTTCAACCAGAAGTAAATATGTAGACATTTAAGTGATATTTATTAAAAGAAAATTAAAAGAATTATTTTAAAATTTTTTATTGATATAGCATATTTTAAATTATTATATGGATATTAATTGTTGATATTTCAATATGTTCAATATTTAATATTTAATATTTAATTATTGTATTTTATTATTGTTGTACATTTCTTACAATAGAGTAAAATTACAATTCTATTAATAAATCAATGCTTATTTCAAACTTAGATTAGTTAATTTGTAGAGCTTGCTTTTGCGTTTATATAACAATTTTCTATGATATTACTTTTGAGATTTGATCCAGAATTCCTTGACCAGACAAACACGATTCGTAGATTAACGAACAATCATAATTTTTTTGTCCAAATTCTAGCGCCTCTAAGTATTCGGAATCTACGGATGAATTATTTCCTTGTTGAGGACTAAAATTAATAAATATTGTATCTCAAAATTTTCGAAGAAATATAATAATATAAAAATTGGCATAAAAGTATAAAAATTTAAATTTTTTTACGTGAGCAAGAGATGCAATAATTCTCCCACGAGTCCTTCGTCTTTTAAAGGCGCCATCGCTGCTTCGCATATGCTTTTTTTCATGCATTCTTTTCCATCTATTCCTTTTCTATAAATTACAAAAAAAGATTCAATTATATACATGTGAATTATCTCTTTGAATTTTTGTGCATCTCTTTAGATTTAATTTGTAATCTTTCGAGATGCGTGCATCTACACGTATATAACGTAGCAAATTTTCATGCTGTCATCGCGAATATCATATTCGTTTGCACGAATGTTCAAAATAGAGAACCAGTTCTCACCTCTGAAGTCCCTCTTCTAAGAGCCTGTAGACAGTGATCCTTTCGTCCCAGTTAACACTTTCGCGACGTCGTCGTGACGAATTTTTGAAGAACTCCGTGAAGAACGTCGCGTTTTGCGGCAAGAGATATTGGAACTGAAAATTTTGCCCGTAAACCAAAGTTCTGCCCGCGAGTTCTACAGGCACTGCATATCCCACGATGAGCTTGGCAAATACAATGCATAAATAAATATATTTGCGCGATAGCATAACGGAAGTATTAGATATGCAGTCGCTTTCAAGTTATTTATAATATCATTTTTAATATATAACTTATCATTTAAATTTTTTAATTTAAATATTTTTAATACGTCACTTACAACTATTTTTAATGCATACATACATATAAATAAATGTTTTAATAGAGATCTAGAGCACAATGAAAATGAAACACCTATTTAAAAAAAAAAACACGAGTGTTTGAAACACATAAATTAAGAGAATTTAAAAAAATATTAAATTAAATGCAATGAGCGATAACTTTCTTCTAAAATCTTCTATAAAATAGCGTCGCAAAATTCCAAGCAAGATAACCGCGAAACGGAGCAAACGAGTTCGCACATTTCTAAAAGAGCTTAGAGGATCTCGCGATCGCGCTCTTGAAATATTTCCTTTTCTTTTATCCTCAAAAATATAAAAGATCTATCTCGAGCGATCGAGATAAAAGCAAGAGCTTTTCCGGACTTGGTCGGAGGATAAAAAATATGCGCCGCGAGTGGATCTATCGCGAGAGGAAGGAGGTAGGTAGTTTACTTGCTGGTTCGGAAAAGTATAGACCGAAGAGATGCGAGGAGAAATGGAAAACGGAGGGGAATTAATTTTGTGATTTTCTCGGATGATAGTCAGCGGGCGGGGAGCGAGGAAGGGAACGCGGCCGCAGCGGAGGAAGTTAATGCCGAGCGGCGTCACCGGTGCTCTCTTGATGGCATCTCGCAATAAACATAAAATTTCATATTCGCGGCAGTATCTAGTCGTAAGGAAAGGAATTGACCGCGATGGGCGGAGTAGGACTCGCGAATTCATTTTAGAGATTACGCGCCGTCGTAAATCAATCTCGCGAAACGGAGAAGCGCAAATCCGACCTAGCTCGATCGAGCGGCAAAAAGGGATGAAACGCGAAGGAGTATCAATAACGATATCGGCGTCTATTGGATATAAAGATGCGCGACCGGCGATGACCGCAGCTCGTACATTTCCGGAGAAGATCGATGACTGACCGGTATAAATACGAGAGAGGAGACAAGATTGCGTTTCAAAGAGAGCGAGAAAGAAAGATAGTCTGTCTGGGAGCTCACAAGATATCGCAGTATGGATCTATCGTTTTGCGAAATAATGCGAAATGTATGCGAAGATTTAATTCTAATGAACGTACAGCGTGAAAAATATTATAGGGAAACATTCGAAATAAACTTGCCTAGCTACGATATTTTGATGGTGTGCCTTTTCGTTCCCAAGAGAAGATCTTTAACCTTATGCTATTTTCGCAACCTGCAGATGACAGAGGATCTACATACAACTCTCTGGCGACTCGCCAAACCTGTCCTTCCTCTCGTATTAGTTTTTATAACGCGCGAGGCTCCTACTTTGCTTAGATGCTTCGCAATTATTTACACAAAAGCTAACATTGCCAAGATGCACTGCCAGTTTTATGTTGTTACTTGGCACTTCCCCTTCTTGAGAAACATTACGAGAATATTAACAATACCAGTATCTGAATTTTAATAATGTTCTTTTAATTAAATATTAATTTTATATGTAGAATATTATATCTAATGTTTCAATATTAAAAGTCAAAATCTAAATTGCCCATAATATCTATGATCAAACAAATAAACTTATTTTTTTTTATACATTGTTATATATTAATAACATATAATTCTTTCATGTTTCTTTCGATTGACTTTTTTACCGCAAATGTCTTTCGCTTTATATCGCCGTCGTCATTATTGTCAATGTAAATTGTACAACGTTTTCGCTATTTGATTGTATTGATGGAATCTGAGTTTTCCCACGAGAGATGGACCGATTGCATCTCCTACTTGTAGAAATCAAGAGACGAGATCGATATCCCTATTCTAAATATCTTCCCGCCAGGGAAAACGAACGCAAAACTGCGCCCGCAGCATCTCGTTCTCTCCGCGATCGCTGCCGTATTTTTGGAATGCATTTACATCAGGAATCTCTTGAGCTCTCGAGAGCGATCGCGACGCGCTTTGTTTCAACAATCTCGAATGTTTACATGGGAATTTACCTTTACTCCGGATATATTGCGCATTTGTTAAAACGTGCGACGAGAATACCAATTTCCAGAAGAAATACAAACATCTCTTGTTAAATTGGTACGCTGGAGCCAAGAGTTTCAAGCTTCCCTCGCGATATTTAACGGCTATTGTAATCCGGGTATCGCTTCATCGAGTACGCAATAAAACAGTGGCATTCGTGAAATGTATTCGAACTGCGCTTTGATCACGACTCGCTGCATTTTCCGCTAGAACGATATTACTTACAGGATGTAATATCTCGCAGAATAACGCTGAATTGAAAAAGAAGAGATTTAACCCCCGACATTGCTTTCTCTCCTTTGCTCGCATCGCAAATCACAATCAAGCCCCGACATCATTTCTTCCGCGAGTTTACACGTGCGGTGACCCGAAACGCGTTCAATCCGCTTTCCCCCTTTGCTCGCCCGCGTTTTAAAGCAAACATTCAAATATTTACAATTGTCGCGCTGCCTCTGGGATTAAAGATTCTTTTTCTACGAAAGGAAATGGCAATCGACGACTATCTCCCGTTATAAGTAATGCGAACAATCGATATCGATTTGTTTCGTCCTTATATCAGCGTACCGTATATTTCGATGTCCTTCTACGTGCATTGACCTAAATACAATTTGCCTTTTTCATACATTTTACGTTTTACGTTGTGCATACGGAATTTTTTTATTCCCTCTTTTCGGAAAATGGTAAAAAAGCATAGCTAAATGCAAACGATAATTCGCGTATTGTCAAAGTTCGTTCTAGAACATCGCGTTTTCTTTTGATTATTTTTATTTTATCGAGTTTCTCTCGATAGAAAGGAAGAAAAAGAGAGAGAGAAAGAAAGAAAAACAGAAAGAGTATTATCTGAGAATCGAGAATCTTGCTAAGGCAGCGAGAATCAAAACAAACAACTCATCATGACATCAAGCTTCGTTTCATCTGCCGCGAGGGCGAAAAGTGCGGTTAAAGTTTTTCTATTTAATTAGAGAATTTGAGGACGCTGACACAGATAAAACTGCAGTTAATTATCAATCGCATTCTGTGGCGAACATCGCATCGGGTTTTCTTTGCCATTTAAATTTATTCTTCTGCTTCTCGCGTTGTCGAAAACATTAACAGCGCTATTATTGATGGCTGTGTTAAAACTGTGTTAAGAAAAATTTAGCGCATTTTCTCACCTTGTTCACAAAATCATTTTAATTTCAAAGAGTTGGTTAAAATAAATTTGTAGAGGTTCAAATATTATACGTGTGTGACACAGCAATTTTTATTTAAAATTTATATATTTAAAATAATAAATTAGTCATCAATAGTTATCGTAAAAATATTCAAATTTGTATACAATACATTTTATTTTAGTATGTTTTACATATGATAAATTGCAAGATATCTTCAATGTGAAAATAATTAAATATCTGCGCAAGTTTTAATTAAATTGTCATTTAATAACATGCAACTTTCGAAAGATATCGTTGCACCAAACTACGTAAATTAAATACTCCTTAACGATTGATACTAAAACGGCGAAATACGTGTAAAACTAACTGCGTTTAAACTAAAACTTCTTTAAGAAATGTTTCTCTTTGAGCACTGAGACGGAAAGTTTGTTTTGGCGAAACCCAGACAAGGTAACTACGGAAATGTACCACACTCAAAAATAGGAAGTGTCATTAGCCTATTGGATGTAAGATAGTTGCGATATAGAATACGCATCTTCGAAGAAGGAATTATTGCCACTCGGTTCAACCATGCGGAATATTATGTCCTGAGAATCATAATTAGTTAGCGCGTCCTTTAAAGGATATTTTAAAAAATTTTCAAATATGCGCAAAGAGAACTTCAAAAATTAGTTTTTAAACTAATCAGGAATCTTTTTTCAATTATCTCGAAGCGAAGAATCTTGCTCTGAATATTTGAGATTTAAATAATAAAATTATAACAAAACAATATTTTTAATGGCATATATTTAAGAAACAAGGCTTTTTTAAAGACAAAAAAAGGGTTTAGAGATTAAAATACCTTGAATGTTCCTCCATATGGATAGACAATCGGCGGTGGATATAACAACTGTCTTCTCTGTCTGGAAGCGAAACTCCCATCTTTCCAACGATATAATACAAGAAAGATGAACAGAAATACCTTTTTCGCCATTTGAATCTAACCAAAAATAAGAAAGCATGATATAATATGATTATTATTCTATTTCATACATATTTTGTATATTTCAATTTAACATTTTTTTATTTAAATATGAAAATCTAAGTGTTTGCCTGTTTTCGATATTATTTCTTTTATGTGTCTTTTATACGACAATTTTAATAGTAAAATAGATATATTTGAGAAAAATATGCTTTAAGTGTAAAAACAGAGAGCTTTTTTGTGAACAAAACAGTTTTCAATAACAACTTTTTTGAGTTTTGATTCAATAACTATCAATTTTTGATCGAAAATTGTACTGTCTGCATAGTTTCACATTCGTCATTTATTGCAATTTCTAAATTTGGCCACTTTTTACGTAAAACTCACGCAAAAATATTATTTAAAATTGTTTTGTATTTTATCAACTATTTTCTCTGTATCTTTAAACCATGCTTTTCTTTGAGATACATAGAGTAACTCATTAAAAGTCCATATCGCGTATTCGTCTACAGCAGGATAATGTTACTTTATGATGATAGTGTGTGCGACGCAAAAACAAAAGTTGAATTTCATCATCTTTCATCAAAGAAAAGATAATGAAAATAAGAAATTGTATTTTTATCATTCAGTTTTTAATTACTATATATACAACTACAAAGACACACTTATTTTAACGACTATGAAAGAATAAATGAAATATATCTAATACAAATTATATATTTATATATAATTATATATAATATTATATATAATTATATATCGTAAAATTAACAATTTTATTATTAATTTGACTCTTTACTTTAATATATAAAAACACTTAAAACAGAAAATTATTATTATTAGTCAATATATATATAAAGTTGCATAAAATTGCGTAATCTATTCTTTTTATATAAAAATTGCGGATTTTGCAGTTGGAGAATCTTTACGTGAGTGAAACTTTTATTATTAGAGACATAATGAATAAAATCGGAGATCGACTTATATAATAATCTTTACGTTTCACGACTATCGCGGTGTCGCACTCGCTCAAGTCGATTCTATTGGATTCCACGGGGGATAAGAAGCAAGACTCACGAGTAACGGCAAATATGCCATAATCCCGAAGCCGAAAGCAGCACGATTCTCAAACCCGCGTCATATTCTACGGATAAAATGTACGCTGCCAAGACGAATGAATTTGTATTCAGGTATAACCCGCGGGTGGCCGGCGTTAAATATAGCTACCTTTATCAAGGGCACGATTTATGGCGGCTTTTATGGCCCACCCTGTATAAATATCGCATCGTTTTCGCACTTCCCCCCGTGGCGAGCGTAACCGCAAAAGGAGCGACTTGCGGTAAATAACTCGCCTGGCATCCGGAAAAGTTTTTGGGTATCGCTCGAGGGGAAAGATCTCTTGAGCCGTTGCGGATTCGTCGCCGTTTCCGGCGTTTTTCTCTTAAACTCGTTTCGCGACAAGTATTATGTCACGTTACATTAAAACCTTACTTAGGTTTCTTTTCGCGCGCGAGTACATAAATTTAAATTCAAATAAATCGCATGCCACTTCATGCAAAGAATATAAACCTCTTATTTATTCTTCGGGAAATATAACATATAAGATCCTAAATTCACTTTTTTTTTAACGCTTACATATCCTGCTTTAGTAATAAATATGACTTGACGTAAATCGCAGAAGTTCGTAGCGGAACATGTTAGAATTCAATGTTTATAAAAAACAGAATAACTTAATAAATAACTTGTATTCAAAAAACAATGTATATAAAAATATCTTAGAAATATCCTTAAATCGTAATACCGACCGTAATAGTTTGTAGACAACATGTGTTTCATCTGGTGGCGTACCTTTAATCTTATGACTGAGAATACAGTAGACTCGCTGCAATAGCGGCGCATACGCACGCTTGTCTGACTTTAACCGGCCGCTTCTACTTCCTCCGTTTCGGAACTCCTATAGCGGCGCACGTGGCCCGTCTCGTGGAAATTAACGTAAATTCGCAGAGCCGCACGAATTGCTTGCTCAGCGAGTCGACACCTGTGATGAATTATAGCCAAATACGCTCAAATAATTTTGTGCGCAACGGACGGTCGGGGCAGCCATGGCCTGAAGAGGATCCAGAGGATGTTCTTGAAATTAAACGGTTAATGCTTTTGAAACTCGGTCGATTTTCGTTTGCTGTTTGTAATAACAAATTAGATATTTCTATTATACAATTTACACTTTTGAATAATCTATTTTCTAAAATAGTGTGCAAGTTTGGAATTTAGAAAATAAAACAATTGTTCTCTTTCTTGTTAAAAATAGCTTCAAATATTTTATTAAGTTATATACATAAGTATTCTTCTCTCTTTCTCTTTCTAAAAAAATAACAATTCTTTCTAAATTATATTTTATAAAAAAAAGAGAGTGCGACATAACAAAATATAAAAACGTTTTATTAATTAAAATACTTTTTCACCTTTTTTTTAATTATGTAAAGAATCTTAGGAAACGTTATATCTTCTCTTCTTCTTTTTATAGCCGGAATATTTTTCATGAGAAGATTTATTTGATGTTTGCATAAAATAAAATATATGAAAAAGTTTATAGAGATATTTTCTTATTTTAATAATCTTGAAAGTAACAAGAAACTTTCGATAAAAATTAATTAGATCCGCAACTTTAAATTTATTATTTTTCGTGTAATTTCAATATCACTCCCATCGTCTTCAGTCATTACTCGTGTACATATTAACGAGTAATTATTAAAGAGAGATTTTAAATATAAAATACATTTGTGTATATGTGTATTTACCAAATATTATATTTCATCGTTAAATTTGGGATTACAGTCCCCACCGGGTGAATTAACCTTCCGCCTGAATTATATTTTATCTACTTACGCTCACTCGTAATTTATAACTCCCTCGCTTTTTTCACATGTTGTACAAGCAAAATGAGACACGCGCAATGTCAGACAGTAATTAATCATCGTTACGCAAATTATTTTTACATTCCGCGTATCCGTTCTCTCGTTCACCGTCTCAAATTTAAATCTTATCACTTCCGTGCGTCCAAAAACAACGTACACGCGATGATGTTGCAGAATAAAGCCTCTCTCATAAGTGTGACAGTTAAAGTAGTTAAAGTTAATGTTAAGACTCACTCCGAACAATGGTGGCGAAAACGCGCTCGGAAAGTAACAGCCGGATACCATCACGAGAGATAGATGGCCATCTACTGTTTATCCTCTCTTGCTTCAAATGTTTGTCAGTTCTGCCTTTGTAATCACTGTTTGCTGAAAGTTGTCACCATCCCGTCCCAGGTGAGAATGCCCGCGACAAGTTCCGGATAAGAGGCGTTGCGCGCGGAATAAGTTTTGGAACAGGAAGATTACACGTTCAAGCCCTTTAAAGTCCCGAGAAACGCGGGGAAGGGGGTGGCATTAGAGGGTAGAGGGGCAGAGGAAAATGGAATAATGCAAAGAGATAAGCCCAGATGAGATAAATAAAGATAGAATCGAAAGAGGAAAGAAGGGAAGAAGAGAATGTAAACCGACGCGGGACTAAGTAGAGAAAAAGATCATTATTCTATGTCTCGAGGGGATAAATCTCCGTAGAGTTAATGACTTGCAAAGTTTTAATCGATGCGCTATAATAAAATTATATAATGCGCCGCTATGCAAAATAACGCGAGAGTAATCTTACTTCCGATATTTTGCACTCGGGGTATTTCGGGCGCTGACGAAAAATTGTGGGAGAAAAGATGGAGATAAATGAAGATAGAAACGGGGAGACAATAAAGCGGTTGAACAAAATTGGATAGTAAACGGAGAAAACGTCTTCCGTCTCTCCCAGCACAGAGAAAACACTGGGTAAGATGAATCTCCGGAACCATCTTACTCCATTTCTTTCGCTGAAAATTGCGCATAACATTACCTACAAATAGTTAATTGTTTAATTAATTAATTCCAGCCGTACATGTAATCCTCTAGCGCGCCGTTCTATTGTAACATTATACTATTATCGCAAATGTAACCGTTAATCCCAGGAGCGTGATATGTTTAACACTAGGAACGCTGCACAATACGATCTCCGAAAGCGCCGAGGGCATAAAATTAGGTCATGTTAAAGTATCCTATAAAAAAAATTTCATGTTTGCATATAAATTATTTTAAATTATTAGACACATCTTTTTTCTATAAAACCCCAATTTTTTTAATGATAGCAAAATATTTTGTTGTAATTATATAAATCCCTCTGAAATCTCTTTCATGTTATGCAGAGTCTATTTTTTGTTTCAAAAATGTGCATCGAAGTTATTATCTTGTCAACAAATTTTTAATTTTTTATGGCAACGTATCTTTGCGGCGAAGCTGGAAATTACAATACAGTTAAAGTAAAGTCCACTTGAAATTAACTCTCTGAAGAATACACTTTTTTCTTTTATCTCTTGAAACTTAAGTTCGCGGAAATCACTTCGTACAGCTAAAGGATCGTTAATCTTTCGATACTCGCTAACAAAAATCGACTCTAAATCTTGCAAGGAATAGTGTTATGGGTCTATTCTAGGGCGCTCTATATGTACAGCTTGATAGCACATGTGGAGGTGCGTGACTGGGCGCACTCCATCATCATCCAGCGGAGAAACTATCGCGAGTTGCTGGATCTTTCACGAAGTGCCTCCGTGGCTGCGCATGAAGTACCAGATACATACATACGTAACCTTCGACGGTGCGAGACAGGCGGAAGGAAAAGACAGTGAAAGATAGCGGGCACGAGGAGAGACCGGAAGAGGGAGGAGGATAGAGCGAAGAAGGAAAGGGGACGAAGAGGGATACAGTATTTACGAATCCAGATAAAAAGCCCGAGAGCAGATACGTACGAGAAAAGAAATCAGTCGCTGAATAACGCTTTTCGAGCTATCTTACGGGGCGAAACCAGAGAGTTGAATTTATTTAGCACTCCTTTTGTTCCTAGTGCTTACGATCATTGCAAACCAATACCTTTGATAAAGAAAACGTTTTTCTTTTAAATTTAATTAAATTGCGCGCGATAGCATTTCAGAAATTTTATTATAACGTTAGCACATATTTACATAAATAAACTCCGTTAAAACAATTTTAATCAGGGATATTCAATCTGTTTATATGATATTATACATATTTGTATTTTCTTTTATGCATTTTAAAACGCAGATATAAAAACGTAGAAAATGTAGGATAGGTCGAAATAATGGAATTTAAAATACATGCGCTTCGTTTTTTAGACAACCATAAATTTTTATCGTTTTAAAAGTTTCCTGCTTAAATTTTAAAATATCTGTACATAAAAATAGAACACGGATCACACATATCACTTCAACAATACAAAATACGAGTATATAATCTTAAGTTTTATAGATAAAAAAAAAAGGATAAAAAATTCACAAATTGCAATTTGTCATTTACATTCGCGCGTATCAAGCTTCAGCTTATGATAAAACTCCCATCCGTCACATGTCGGGATCGCTCATCGGAAAGCAAAACTCCGCAGGATACGGCTGCTCGTCGCGTCTCAAGATTCGCACGTAACTGATGAACGTAAGAAAGTGACACGCATAATCGAACGCGCGACACAGCGGTTAATTGAACTCGCGTTCTGAACCGGAAGGAAACGAAGTCGCGGTGATTCGATTACTCAAGGAAATACAATCTCGGTAAATGATTCCAACGGTGACTCGACGCAATCGGGATACATTAGGATGCAATCGCCGCCAGACCTACCCAATCGTTCAGCTTCCTGATACAATTTGTTGACATTCCGGTGACTGGAATTAATCGCTACCGGCAAGTCCTCTGTGGGCCTATCGAGAAGAGATTCAGATTAAATCGTTTCGAGCGCTTCTCCCGGCGAGTCTTATTCAAATCTACGTTATCCGATATCTCTTGAAGCGAATCTTGTATTTCAAAAGCACTTGTTATTTCAAAAACTTCGATATTTCATCTCTATCATTGCAAGTCATCATATCAAGATACCTTCACTTTAGAATAACACATATATGTAGTTATGTTTATAGTTTATAATAATACATATTTTTTATAGTATAATATATGTGTGAAAAAGTAGAATTAAAACTTTAATAAATTATAGTATAATTATTTAACGTATAAGCGATAAAGTATCATATTGTACTATATCGAAATTGTAATTTCCATTGCTCATGTTGGTGTTGAATGTAATCTATATGTCTATATTTATAAGTGAGATGCTATAATTTATTCCGTTACTCATATATTATTGAACCAAGCGGAATCTATATTGATGCCTAGGATTTTCGACGAATCTCAGTAATTTGCGTGCTCGCGCGCGCAACAATTAATGGCTTGTCGGTATTAATTCGTGAAATATATTTGCAAAGCAATATAGCTTATATATTCGTCTGAACGCTCCTTCTTTTCTCTTTCTCTCAAAATACGCAATTACATTCATCGGTATTTCGTTGGGTTATTTCGAAGGGAAATTCCCAAAGCGGCTGCGAAGGGATAGCACAAAGTAAAGCCCGGCGAAAACCTTCCTAGGCGAAACACTTCCATTAGAAACTTAATGTACGCGCCTAACTTTGTCGCAATTAGCGCGCCGGTGTTAGCTTGCGAGCGCAATTTCCCTCGAACACACGCGGACGTGAACGCGCGTTCGGAATATCAAATTCGTGGCTCCCTACAAAACGAGCGAATATTTTACATGATGTAAAAGCCACCCGTACTGCTCGATTGACGATCAATTAGGACTTATTGCCAAACATGAATGGCATAACAAATTTTTGTTCATAATAAAATTCCCATCCATTACGCGGGTCGAGAAACCTCTTACAAAAATAAAATTCCCCAAAGAAGAGATTGCGCTATATATTTAAGATTTACATAAGCCAAACGTAA